AGAAAGAAACACTGCCACTTTTGGAAAAAATTGTCTGTACATCCTCTCATTGTACATTCGATTTTCTCAAGTTTAAGAATCAAAAGCACTTTTTGAGGGATAGGAAACTACGCACAGCTTGACTGTCAGTGGTAGTGACTCCCATTAAGCCTGGACAGTAAACCCATCACGTATTAGACATGTGATCAAACATTTATGTCCATTCTGCTGAAACTGGTTTGAACCCAGGCAAATAATTCACTTTTCAACCCCTCGGCCGACTGTGAGCTCCCAGCCAATCGTGTTTTCAACGTTCAACACGTCTTTGGGAGCCCTCACAGATCATTTGGTGTTCAAGCTGAATGAATAAAAGCCCATAACCCTTTTTTGTGTGTGTGTCCTTTCGGCTGTTAGCCTTTTCTTGAAATAAAAGTTGTGTAGTTCCTCCGCACAAAGCCTCCGTCAGTGTTGGTAACATATATGAGCCCCCGAGGATTACGCTGCCAAGAAAAGACCCTTTTTCAGCTTTAGTGAGAACTGCCGCGGCGAGTTTCGTTTTCAATAGAAGCTCACCAACTCTTTCCTCTGGAGAGATCAATGTGCTAAGTCTATTTGATTTTAGCAGACTTGAATGCACTTTTACTGGTCTGTGTCACAGAGTGTGGCGGTAAAATGAATCCTTAGCATGTAAAGTTTGTAATGAAATGTTAACTTGAAGCTTATTTAATTGGAATGAGGATATTTTGTGCTTTTATTGTTCTGTGTGCTATAATTGGGTCAGCTTTACAATAGGCATCTACTCATTTACAGGCTTGATGGGTAAAATGTTGATTACCTGTTTTATAATCGCAAGATTGTTATTATTAAAGCGTTCGACACATTTTTAATCACAATTATGGAACATCTTTATCACAAAAAGGTTAGTGCTTTGTTGTAATTTTCCCTTATATTTTTTTATTAAATACCAAAAGGTGTATTTCAAATACAGTATCATTTATTTGGTTCAGGGCATTGTCACAACAAAAATCCTGAGAAAAAATAGAGAAACTTTTTTTTAATGTATGAGTTTTTATTTGCTTCTTTGACTAAATAGAATAATAAGTAAACAAATCTGGTATTCATTCAATTTAACACACAGGTTAGGTAAAAATCATGATAGTGCAGTTTTTTTGGTGTCAGGGACATCCGATTTTTGCCATAAAGTGTTAAAAAAAAGTGTCAGATGCAAACGTTTTTTCAGAAACTGTATGTATCAAGTATGAAACATGTGGCTTTACAGGTCAAAAATAAAATTAATAAACATACTTTGATAGCTGCACGTTTCCCTTTAACACCGTTTTTCTTGACAAAAGTGTGCGAAATCTGTTTTTTCATCTAAAATACAGCAGTGTGTTCTAGTTTTCTCACTGGTGTTGGGGCAGTCTTAACCTCAGATGATACAGAAAATATGATTTCATTCTGCACACAATGTGAGAAAACAAAGAAAGCCTGAGAAGGTTTTCCACCATCATATTTACTGAATTACGCATCTGTGCATCTCTAAATGTCACTCACCTGAAAATGAGTTTCTGACAGCCATTTTCAGCCTGTTAGTCTCTTTCTCCATGAGCACACCCACACAAAAGGGGGGGGGGGACCAGATACATCTCAGTGCTCACACGCTTCTGTGGCCACTTCTGGATCCCCGGAACTCAATTTCAAGAGGAGGAGCCCACCTCCCCGATAACTAACTAACCCCCGGACCGCCACACACAGCACACACACGTCATTAGACAGACTCTGGATTGTGTGTGTGTGCGTAAAGAGGGAAGATTTTCTCTTCATCTTCCCAACAATCCCCCGGAGCGAGGTTATCACACAGCCCGAGGCCTGACCTTAGCAGCCTGTCAGAGGACATTACTGTCCTGTGGGCAGTGTGTGTGTGTGTGTGTGTGTGTGTGTGTGTGAGAGAGAGAAAACAGGGCTGCACGGCAAAGAAAAGACAAGTCAAATATTGTCAGAGCGCAGAAAGCTAGCAGCTCCCTCCTCCTCAGACTGAAGCCAAACACGTTACTCACGATGTAATTAAAGACAGGTTATTTTGGTCCTCATAAGTCCTCACAAAACCTGCGAAACGCGTCAAAGTGTGCGATTAACATGTATCTTTTTCTTCATGTCAACTACACGCCACGATCTTGCTCGGCAATTATAACGAAAAGTTTTTTTTCCTGAATCTATTTTAGAGTTTGTCAGTTCCTGGAAAATAACTGCAAACACAGATGAGTCATTTTGGGCTTTGGGCGAAGCTAATTCTATATTAGATTAAAGTTTTTGGGGGTATTTGGATCTACGTGCTCCACAAAAGAGGCTCTAAACAAAAACATGGGGCTCAGGTCCATGGCTCAGACCAATCAGGCCAATCAAAGCCTCTCATTTCTCGACTCTCACAGGACATGCACGATTCTACCCACGTTAACGAGCTCTCCCTGCTTTATGCTGGTCCCAAATCAGATAAGGAGAAAGAATAAATAAAAAATAAATAATCAGATAAGGATAAATCATAGCAGGAATCCTATTCAAAATGGCCAACAAAGAATATTAGAAACTGTGACTCAGACTGGGAACACACTAAATGACTTGTGTTGGTTTTGTAATCTTGGACTACAAAGTGAAACAGTTCTGTCTCTGTCTCACAATAAAAAGACATTTTGGACTTCTCCCCAACCTGAAAAGACCCGAGAGCATCCAACCCTCAGTTACTCCTAAGACAGGAAGTCCTATAGGGCAGTGTTTTTCAACCACTGTGCCTCGGTACACTCGTGTGCCATTAGTGATGGTCAGGTGTGCCGTATAAAATCATCCTATTTCACCTAATTGGTCTAAAAAGATTTTTTGATAAGGAATTAATTTTCTGCAAATAATATGACATTTTTGAGTGTCTGTGCTGTACTAGTGACTGGTGGCGTAATCATGTAATAATTCCTTGTGACTAGATTTTGTATAATTTTGTATATTGAAGTGGACATGTTAAGTGCAATTTGAAAGAAGAAATATAAAATATGATAAAAATAAATTTTTGTGTTTATTCAATTCCTATTCAAGACACTTAAGATAAGATAAGAATAAAATAAGAATAACTATAGTGTTACTGTTGAATCTTATTGTTGATGTTCTTGTTGACTTCCTGTTGTGGGTGGAGATTTACACAGGTGTGTGCAATCTGCTAATAAAAAGGCCACAGGTTGCTCTGATGGGCACTGCTGCATTCAGGCCAAACTTAACTGAAGGCTATGTTGTGTTTCCTTCGTCACCACCCGGCATTTCCAGCTCTTTAAAGATGGCAGCGTCAACAGTTACTATACAGATTTGTATAACATTTTTGGTTGGTGGTGTGCCTCGGGATTTTTTCTCTGAAAAAATGTACCTTGGCTCAAAAAAGGTTGAAAAACACTGCTATAGGGAACTCAGGCATCCTGGAACCTTTTGGGTGTCCTCCCTGTCCTTTCTCTGGTGTGTGAGGACGTTTTTTAACCACCGTAAAAGGCATCTGCTGATACGGGAAGACCTCAGTTTAAAACCAGCCAGACCTATCAGAGGAGACAACTGTTAGCCCGATTCTTATGTTGGAAGCCTGAGAATAACCCAGAGTAGATCAAGAGTACAAATATGGAATTTATTGGTCAAAAGCAAAGTAAACCATCTGGGCTCTCACTGACAAAGCTCCCGGAGGATCTCAGTCTGTAAGAGCCTCTATTTCCGGGTGTGATGGACAGTTTTCCTCTGGGCCTCCAACAGGAGGACGAGTGTTATTGGCCAGTTAGCTCTGACAGGAACAGGCCAGGTCCTAATTCATGCAGGTTTTGGTGGAATATGCTAAAAAAGTGTCTGTATGTTGACGTTGAAGACAAGTATCTACTGTAACAGAGAGAAGAGGAGGAGGCACAGCCAGAGAGTTTAACCCAAAAGTAGAATCATAAAGGGAATAATATCAATCTAAAAAGGAATAAGACAATCAGTCATTTACACGGTTTAAGTTAAAACATACTGTGCTAAAGTGAGTAATTATAGCCCAATTCTAACACAGCTCTGACAGAGTCATTTTTTAGACAACACAAACGATTTATGACACATTTAAGACACATTTTAGCAGTCAGTTCGGTCCGTCTGATCCTCCCACTGGCATCATGGAGGTCGGCTGTGTTTGTTTCAGTCTCTAATCCCGGTGTGTGCTTTTCAGTTGGGTTTTAGTGGCTAACGGTCCATCTGTGCGTCCTCTGAGCTGCAAAAAAAATTGTGCATGTTTTATATTTTAAAAGGGGCCAATGTTTGATTTTAAAGATTGATTTTTCTGATATTTTTCCTTAATGTGAGTAAGAATATAAAGTCATTGGCAAAATACCATTTATAGAATCAACATTTCCAAAGCTTCCTCATCTTACTGTTTCAGTATAATATCAATCCCTCTCTTTAATATTGATGTTGGTCTTTATAAGATGATGGTTAAATTAATTATAACTAAGTTATGTGGAGATAAAACAACAGTGGGTTGGAAGTTCTGGAAACACACAATCAACCTAAGACTCTCTTCACTCCTAAACTCATTAAGAAGCCTTTCAGGGCTAAAACATCTTCAAGATCCGAGAAGAGATCCAGTTGTCTTTATTACCATCATCTGGAAGACTTAGAATTTACAATGCCTTTTTTCAAACATGTATTTTATTTGAAAAAATGTCTATCCTTAGTGGAATTAGTATTATTTGATTTGAAAATGAATTAGCATAAATAAAAAAACTGGTCTATATTGAGATTTAAGCATGTCTTCCTTTACAGCTGGTTTTGTAGGGCCTCCAAATTTGACAATTTTGCAAAAGCCTATCCTTTGCAATATTAAATGCTGACTTTATTTTATATGAGGACTTCTCCCTCTTTGCAAATGCTTTGAATAGTAGGTTATTATTATGTG